TAAGCATTAGTTACTATTGTCCCCCGCAGATCCCAACCAGGTAGTCTACACTTACTAATATGTCAGTCAGTCAGTCAGATGCAACCGTAGAACTTCGTACGTAAGTACATCAGTTCATGTCGCCATACCACATCAGCACACAGATATAATGGTCAACTCAAACCCAATAGTAGTAGAGGTAGTAAAGGTATTAGAAGTAATCGGAGAGGTTAGGATTACAAGATATTATTCAAGAAGTATGATTCAATGAGAAAAGTTTAGAAAGTCAAAACCAGAGTTGTTGAACAATCCAGAAGATTAGGATTTGAGAGAACACAAAGAATAAATGCACCTGCGACATTCCAAACGATTTTGAGCCATGTCATTCAAGGTCTCTAACCATCGATTATTATCATCTCGCGGACCCCAACCAGGTAGTCGACAATTACCAACATGGCTAAGTCCACTCGTCAATGACTTCATGGATTTCTGCCATGTTTTGGTTTGGCCGCCTCTAGCTTTAGTCCAACCTACTCCTACACCACAAAACAAAGCTCGTCGAGGCAGTCGGTGGTTGGGCATACGCAGCACATGTCCCAACCACCTCAACTGATGAAGTTTCACTACTGCGTCTTTTGATCTGCCATTCTTACCTAGCACCCGATTCCTAATAACAGCGTTGCTCACTCGGGTGTGCCACGATATACGAGCAATGCTTCGAAGACACCTATGATCGAAAACCAGTAACCGATGACTAACTTCTACTCTCACTGGCCATGTTTCACAGCCATAAAATAAGACGGAGAGAACTACTGCGCAGTACACTCGTCCTTTAGTCAGCAAACAGATATCTCGCCTACGCCATAAGTGACGCAGGTTGGCAAAAGCCAACCCAGCCTTCTGTATCCGAGCTGAGATTTCGTCAGTCACCAGGCCATCGGTACTGATGAGACTCCCAAGATAAGTGAAGCGGTCTACGCGTTCGACTACTTCACTCCCTATCACTAGTTCACTCTCTATCACTAGTTCAGGTGCCGATGCAACCCAATCTTGAAAAAACATTTTGTATTCTTAGGGTGAAAACCGCATCCCGAAAATTCTTGCTTTGTTGCTCAGGGTAGTCAGAAGACTCCTCATTTTGTCAGCGTCTTCACCAAGTAGGACAATGTCATCGGCATATTCTAAGTCAATAAGCGAGCCACCTGATAGAAGGTCTACTCCTGAAAATTCAGACGAGGACAATGTTATGTCTAGGAGCATGTCTATGATAAAATTAAACAAGAATGGAGAAAGTGGACACCACTCGAAGTAAAGAATTCCGTTGACAGTTCGCCATAAGCTCTCACTCAACCAGTGGTGTTCGAGTAGAGAGCTTGTATAAGGTTAATGTACTTCTTTGGTACACCTTTCAATGACAGACACTGCCACAGAACCTCCCGACCCACAGAGTCAAATGCCGCTTTTAGGTCCAGGAAGACAACTATTGTAGGACGCCTCAATGTGTGTCTGTGTTCCAGGACCTGTCTGAGTGTGAAGATGTGGTCTATACAGCCACGTCCAGGTCGAAAACCAGACTGGTTTTCTCGAGTTTGCTCTTCACGAGCTTTCGTTAAGCGCCGAAGTATTATCGAGGCCAATATTTTAGATCCTATATTCGTTAGACTTATTCCCCTTTGATTGTCACAAGAAGACTTTTGTCCTTTCTTACAGATTGGGAGAAATATGTCTCAGTTCATTTGTTAGTATTTTCATGCATTTGTGCTATGTTTTGGTCTGCACACCGATATTTCTTTTTCAGCCTACTACTACATCAGACAAAATCGCTCATCCAGTTATTCAGTGGCTGGGCATACATAACACATGTCCCAACCAGCTCAACTGATGAAGAATCACTACTTCATCGATTGATCTGTTATTCTTACCTAGCATTCATTTCTTAACACCAGTATTGTGTACTCGATTGTCCCAGGATATACGAACAATGCTTCGAAGACACCTATGGTCGAATACTGGTAACCTACGAATATCCTCTACTCTTATTGTTCATTTTTCATACCTGTATAGTAGTACGAAGCAAACTGCTGCGCACTAGATTAGTCATTTGGTTAGCAGACGGATATCTCACCTACGCCATAAATGATGAGAGGTGACTAAAACCAGTCGAGCCTTCTATATCCATGTCGAAATTTCGTCAAAAACCAGGACATCCTCACTGATGAGACTCCCAAGATAAGTGGTGCAGTCAACACGCTCAACTACTTCACTTCCGGTGCCATCGCAAGCCAATCATGAAGTAACATTTTACATTTCGAGGGAAGAATTACATCCAAAATGTGCTTGCATTGTTGCTTAAGGTGGTCAGAAGACTCTGCATTATGTCAGCGTCTTCAACAAACAGAATGATGTTATCTGCATATTTTAGGTCATTAAGTTGATATCCTTGTAGAAGGTAAACCAGTGAAAAGTCAGACGATGAAAGTGTCATCTGTAAAATCATGTCAGTGACAAAGTTAAGTAAGAATGGAAAATGTGGACAGACCTGATGAACACCACTCGAGGTAATAAACGACGATGACGGTTCGCCATAAGCTCTCACTAGACCAGTAGTGTTCGAGTAGAGAGCCTGTGTAAGATTTTTGCACTACTTTGTTACATCTTACAATGACAGACACTACCGCAGAACTTCACGATCCGCAGAGCTAAACGCCGCCTTAAGATCAAGTAATACAACTGTCGTCCAACATCGGAGTATGTGTCTATATTATAAGGCCTGCGGAAATGTGAATATTTGGTCTATACATCCACGTTCAGGTTGAAACAACCCTGGTTTTCTTGAGTCTGCTCATTGCAAGCTATAGTTAGCTGTATTGGTTAAACTGATTACTTTGTGGTCGGCACAAGATGACTTTTTCCTTCCTTATAGATTGAGAGGCGCAGTGATTGAGACCAGTTAGATGGGATTACGTCCAGTTCCCAGATCTCAGTCAATCTAACTGCTAGAACTGAACCCCATCTTAGGAGATTGCCTAGTTATCATTCAGTTTCGCTTAATCTACTTACTTCGTCATCAAAATTACCAGCTATTATTATTATTATTATTATTATTATTATTATTATTATTATATCAGAACGATTTGCTCTTTGAGGGTTGGAAAGCTTACTATAAAATTTACATTTTACCTGTTGGGGATGTTAGATCCCCAGAACTCGCTTGATAAATGCCTTATTTTGGAGTTCACGTTTGCCAGCATGGGCTGATCAGTTGACCTTGAGATTTCATTTCCCACCAGGAAAATCCATGGCTGTGATTGGCTGCTGTGTATTTTAGTGTGTTATTTTCGTAACTACCCCGAGGACATTTCTATGATGTATAAATAAACGAGAGTTGTGTGCTTGATTGTATTGTGATTGCTGGGTGTTTGTAGAATATACTTTCTACTCTAACAAAGCCCTCTGTCTTCAGCTTGGGATTCAAAGTAGCCTATCTGGTAATTGTCTCGTTCGCGTTTATCGACTAAGGTGAACTCGTAATAGCTTCAAGTGTACCTAGTGACGAACATAACATTACCTTATCTGAGCTGCAATCAGTAGGCAGAGATTACTAAGAGCCAACGGCGTGTCCCTATTTTTACTGGTTCTTACTGTCACCCTTATTCGTACAGGGCACAAGTAGCTATCTAATGGAATCGAGTTTAACTGAACTATGATGTGAAATCATGTTAGTTATATGTATGACATGAAGTTTAATAGATTAATTAAGTAAATAAGCATTTTTCTACACATTTTTAAAATCATCAATCAATCATTGTTAGACCACCACCATTAGAAACCTGGAAGCACTGAAAGACGGCTGTTTCGTCCTGGTATGGGACTGTGGTGCGAGCTACTTATAAGTAGTATATGACGCGAATGTGTCTGGTAGCAGAACATGGGGGAAGATCAAGAAAGGAAGAGTGGGAACACAATGGAATTTGTATGAAACGCATGAATAGTGAAATGTCAGACAATGGATTGAAGATTTGCAAATTAACGGTTACGATATGGTTTTAATATTTTACTGAGTAACTCTGTAATTTTCGTTAAATACAACTTGGTTGTCCTCACCTGTGTTCTCGTTCACTACAGGACTACTCGTCAGAAGTACGCATCCACAACTCTTTCACCTTACGGTCATTCGAACCCGGGACCTTTGGTCTTTCGCTTACTAATGACTAGATTCATGAGGAAATTCTCGGAGTTCAAGTGAGAGAAGACGTGACCAGTAGAGTTGAACCCTGACGGGTTTAGGCAGTAACTACCAAAGGCGAATGGATGAGGTCGCGCAAAATCCCTAGATCAATCAAAGTTAGACATTCATTCCGTTGAACGCCAGCCCAGTGGTCCAGAGGTTAGGCGTTCGTGCGCAAGACCGAAGGTCCTGGGTTCGAATGACTGCGTGGTGCAGGAGTCGTGGATGCACACCAACACTGATGAGTAGTCCCATACACCAGGACGAAACAGCCGTCTTTCAGTGCTTCTTCCAGGTTTCGAATGGCGGTGGTCTAACAATGATTTTAAAGAAATGTGTGTAAAAAATACACTAATCCCCCTCATATCTCTCATTGAAAAATCAACCATTTTGTAGTGAACTAATAAGCGAGGGTTTGACTGACTGATTGATTTATTTGTAACCATGAATCGATCAATGTTAGACCACCACCATTAGAAACCTGGAAGCACTGAATGACGGTCGTTTCGTCCTGGGATGGGACTCATCAATGGCAGTGTACATCCACGACTCCTGCACCCCACAGGATCCGAACCCAGGACCTTAGGTAATGTGCGCGAATGCCCTAACCGTTAGACCACTGAACCGGTATCTGACGGTGTTAATGTCTAACTTGATTGATTGTTTGTTCATGTTTTTTCGCACAAATCTCATTGACACCAGATAATAATAATAATAATAATAATCTTCAAATAAAAACAATCTTTAATCAATACACGAAAGAAGAAAACGGAGAAACAAATATCACACATACCTTTGGGACAGTTTGTAAATATTGTCCAATCACAGTGATTACAAGTAGAATAATACAACAAGAAATTAGTGAAGCAACCTGTTGTTGTGTTTTTCAATAGAAAAATTTGAAAAATCACGAAAATGGATATTGAAAACACAGAAAACAAAGTGAATATTTCATTCGGCATAGAAAACAAATTTAATAAAACCTTCACATTGAATCAACAAATAGATTGATTCCTTACTGTCTCTGTCTCTGTGTGAGTGTGTGTGTGTGTGTGTGTGTGCAGAGTAAGTAGTAATCAATGACGACACACATGTATGTGTGTTAGTTAACCTAGACCTGAGTGCTGATCGGATTATACTTTTTTTGCATTACGGGGTTGTGAAGATTGTTAAGGTACACATTTTTGAAACCATGAATCGACCAATGTAAGTTAGACCACCATTAGAAACCTGGAAGCACTGAAATACGGCTGTTTCGTCTTGGTATGGGACTCCTCAGTGGCAGTGCGCATCCACGACTCCTGCATCCCCCAGGATTCGAACCCAGGACCTTCGGTATTGTGCACGAACGCCCTAACCGTTAGACCACTAAGCCGATATCCAACGGTGTTAATGTCTAACTTGATCAAATTCACGGAGTTGCGCAACCTCATAAACAGTCTTCGGTAGACACTGCCTACACCCGAACAGGTTGAACTTCACTGGTCACGTGCTTACCACTAGTGTACTAGTTGAAATGATTTCATTTATAAATCATGTACTAACTAGATTGTGGTGCTCAAGAATTCCATGCTTGAGTTATGTTCGATTGTAGATTAGCGGCGGGATAACATACTCGCCGTGCTAGTGGAACAAGCATAATGTCACTGTCAACTACATAGCCGCTTGATGTTAACATTGAAGTCACAAGACAAGATAATAAGACTAGTCAGTCAGTCAGTTGCAACGTAGAACTTCGTACGTATGTACATAAGTTCAGGTTGCCATACCACATTAGCACAGAGACGCAAATGTCAAATCAAATCCCATAGTGATAAAGATAGTAGAGGTATTAATGGTAATGAAGAAGACTAGGGTTTGAAGATATTATTATTCAAGAAGTATAATTCAGTGAGATAAGGTTAGAAAGACAAAGGTATAGATGCTGACGAATCCAGAAGATTAGGATTTGAGAGAGCTCAAAGAATGGATGCACTTGTGCCATTGCAAACGATTTTGAGCCATGTCATTCAAGGAATCTAACCATTCGTGACTTTCGTCTCGTGGACAACAACCAGGTAGTCTACATCTGCCAACATGACTCAGTCCACTAGTCAGTGACTTCATGGATTTCAGCTATGTTTTGCTCTGGCCGCACCTAGGTTTCTTCTAACCTACTCCTACACCACTAAACATAGCTCGTCGAGGCAGTCGGTGGTTGGGCATTCGTAACACATGTCCCAACCACCTCAACTGATGAAGTTTCAATAATTCATCTACTGATCTGCCATCCTTACCTAGCACCCGTTTCCTAACAACAGCATTGCTTACTCGGTTGTCCCACGGTAAACGAGCAATGCTTCTTAAACATCTATGATTGAATACTAGTAACCTACGAACATCTTCTACTCTTAACGGCCATGGTTCACAGCCATATACGAGAACGGAGCGAACTGCTGTGCATTACACCCGTCCTTTGGTCAGCGAACGGATATCACGACTACGCCATAAGTGATGCAGGTTGGCAAAAGCCAATCGAGCTTTCCGTATCTGTGCTGAGATTTCGTCAGTCACCAGGCCATCGGCACCGATGAGACTCCCCAGATAAGTGAAGTGATCAACACGGTCGACTAAGGTTATTAAGAATAATAATTTGTTACGAAACTCGAAAAATTGAACATTTTTGATAAACCCATCAAAAATATTATTCTCATTCCCTCCCTCCCACTCTTTGATAAGCATCAATCACCCTTATGAATGCTAATCCTATTATGTAACAATGACGGAAATACAAGCCTCAGCATTCACAAGGTAGAAAGAAAGCTATATTTTGAAGTACAACACTGTCAGCTGCAACTAAATAATTCTTGATGGAGGAGCTTTAACAGAACTAGAAAGCTATACATCATCATCATTGATCTACTTAAAGGAGGACTTGATGCGCAGATGTTAAGGCAAAAATTAACAAAGCAAGGATAGCATTCCTATTGTTGAAATATATATCTGGGAATTCAAGAGAAAAGTTAGAATTCTCCTCAATAATATGTGAAGTACTAATTTTCCCTCAAGTTTGTCGACA